AGCTTTAGCAAGAATATGGGGCCGCCATTCAGCTACAACTACGGGGTCATTTCTAGTAGACAGTTTTGAAAAAATCTTGACTGAAAACTGTTTCGCCGCCAATGAAATCGGTGCACTTGCGTTAACTATTTTTTATTTTTGGTTCCTGGTAATTGCTCGGCCGTTATTACACATAAAAGCGCTAATTTTAAACGTAATTGACATAAATATACAATGACAGTTTTGATTTGGTCATATAGTGTTCATATTATACGGCAAATATGTATCAGCATTCTATTCCAAATTTTGCAAAAAAGGCAGGAGATTATTAGAGCAAATTCTTCTCTGCACATCAAAATGCGTATATTGGGATAAATTATCGAATCAGCAAAAATAAAAATAACTATAAGTACTGAATGACAAATAACAACTTAAATTTCAGGTTATTTCCTCTCAAAATGCTAATACTATAAGGAGACAGAAAATTAGAGGTTCATTAAGACTGTCATCTCATGCATGGAATGACCCTTACAATTATCAACCATATCGCAGTCGATATTTATTTCAACTCTTTAGCCGTATTCTGATTAATAAACAGAATCATTCGCAGCCTCTTCGTAGCCTTCACCCCCCGCGCATGCTAAAATTTCATTAAGTAAATCCTCTTCAATACTAAATTCAATTTCTGGCATAAACGGACGGTTAATTTTGTATTCCTAAATCATTGCAGCTTTTCTGCAATTACCCATTGTAGTAAGCTATAAAGAATTATGCAAACTTCCAAATTAACGTTACTCAACTTTCTTTGCATGGGCTCTCAACTGGTCAAAAACAAATGGGTTTCTTTTCCCTGTAAGTCAGACTCTTTTTCCTTTTAAACCCTTACTCATGCCATTCCTTCCTCTTTTATTCAGCGGGCATGTTGTGATTCGGTTTCCTTCCAACGCATCAATTTTGCACTGCCAATGTCTCCTTTGCTCTATTTATCTGACACATCTACGTGAAAACCATTCATACAAACACGCAACAATCATTGACCCGTCATAAAAAATCCCCCCATTCAATCCGTCATATAAAACAAGCAAACAACAGTAAACACCAGAACCCCACAAAAACAATAAAACAAATAAACAACCAAGCACCATCAAATTCGCAAACATTCATCAAGATTTTTCAAACCACTGTATCTTAAAACCAATTTGACCCCCAGTTCAGTTAACGACAGCCCATTATTCTTGCTAAACCCCACGTACTCGCTCATATCGCACCAAATGTACACAAATAAAACGAAACCTAAACACTAACTTAATTTTGTTATGATTTTAAAGGGTAAATCGTCAAAAAAGCAAAATTTATGCAAAAGTGCACAGAGTCCGCGCTACTCGAATCTCATGCGTCTGACCCCGGGTGGAAGCCCCCGCGTCTCCCACAACCAGTAGTCTGGAAAAATTGAACAACAAAAAAACGCAATGACAGTGAACTGATTTCAATGCGCATATAAATCAAAATTGATTGCAACCTTGAAATAGCGAAACCCTCTTTCTTCTAACTTCTAGTCATAAAAATCCCATCCAGCTCTCATATAAACGAAGGCAAGCAACACATTAAACACCAGGAACCCCACGAAACAATAAAACAAATAAAGTCTAAACGCAAGTGCACCGATTTCAATTGGCCGGCGAAACAGTTTCAGTCAAGATTTTTTCAAAACTGTATCTTAGAAACAATTTGACCCCCGTAGTTGTCAGCTGAACGAGCGAGCCCTATATTCTTGCTAAAGGCTCCCACGTTACTCGGCTCGATAGTCGCACCAAAACTTGTTACGAGCAAAATAAAACGAAACTTAAACAGCTAAACTTATATTTTGTATGAGTTTTAAAGGTATAATATTTTAAAGGTGAGCTACGCGAATGTCTTTCAAGTACGGCTGTTACAACATGGCCGCTTGCTGAAAGTGTATGGCTGAATGTCTACTGGCCGAGAAGCCGCTGTGACTTGAAATAACTTCTATCTATCATCGCGACGATAACGAACCGAAACGGCTTTGGCGGCACTTAAGAACATAATCTTGATTGACAATCCCTATACTGGGGCTGGACCGTATACTGGGGCGCCTTATACTGGGGGAAACGTTACCAACGTTGCTCCATTACCTTGATCTGCGTGAATGTGTGATGGGCAAAAATGGCAAAAAACGCTTTATGTTTTGCCGAATGCGTGCGGAATCAAAAGAATCGCACACCTCGTGTCTCTGCACGCGCGTGAGAAAATTATTTGTTCTTCTGAAAAGTGCGCGCTCAGAGTTCTCATTACGCGCTTTAAAATTTTGCTTGCCTCAGACCATAATAAGGACCTACACTAAACACCTGAACACTAAACACCTGAAAAATTTTGATATTTTGCTATACTAAATCTATGTTTTAAATATTGTTTTTTGTGCATATTCAAACTATACCTAGAATATCCCATTTTCAAGATTGTAAACCTCACCTGGAAATTGACAAGTAAATTTAATTATGAACTTGCGCCCAAAGGCTCTACAATTTTGTATGATACACAATGCAAAATAGAAACAATTCACCGTCTAGCAACATCTTGTAAATCGTCATACACTTGCTCAAACAAACCAAACTCATAAAACCCATCAAACTTTACACCAAAACATTAATAAGTCTTAATTTCTGGTCTGCAGAAGCCTTACCATGTATGTATGCATTTTGTTTGCACCATTTTCATGCTTTGCATACCGGATTTTACCTAACTAATGTATAAAGCTTCAACTGCATCAAATCATAGAAAAAAGTGCACTTGTTACAAAAGTGCATCATCTATAAAACTGTCAGTTTATCCCACTAACAAATCAACATGAAGTTAATGTCAAGCTGTTCCTGTAAAATCAAGTAGTTGCTTCCAATGAAATTAAAAAGTCACTCCTGTTTTTATTTTGCTAAAGATGTGATGATCACATCTTGAAATGTTCAGTTGTTCTATAATTAGACAACATTTTCACTTTCCAGATCAATTCTATAGGGGAAGTTGTGAATACATGAAGACAAAAATTTAGATTTAATTTTTACATTTGAATGTTGATTTTACTACCCTGAACTTTTCTTTTTGAAATCAATCTTGTGCTGTTGTTTTTTGTGGTTTGCATACTCAAGCTAGAACAGTTGATCATCAATCCAGAAGTAAATGAAGTGACTCACAACACATTGCAAATATTCTGTATTTACGTTATTCAACCATTATGGCCATTTATCCCATCATTTCTAATCAAATAATCTAATCAAATCAAATCTAAGTTAATCTAAAGCATATTCATAAAAAATACTTAGTCAATGGAGTTTTTCATCTACAGGCCTCTCGGTAAAGTTTTTAGTAGGTGCATGGCTGATTGTGGTCTTCAAGACAAAATTTTTCATAGAGGGGCACGATGCATAACTTTAGGTTTAAAATCGCATGGAAAGGTAATAATATCAGTACTATTGATTGTGGTAGCGTGGTACTAAAGTATTATGAAGTTTTTGTCTTTTAAGTTTTGTAGACACCCACAAAAAGAAACTTCCATTATTTTGATCTTAATTTGTAGCAGTAATTTACTAAAGACCATTAACATGTTTTTAATCTAAAAATTACTTTCAGTAATGGTAACAGTGGCAGTAAAGATTTAAAGTGGTTCTATTATCATATTCAACCAGCACAGAGAGCTTTCCATTATTTAAAACAAGCATTTTGTATAATGCAATTCCCTTAATGGTGAATGCTGTAATTTTTTGAAGATGATTCCCAGGGCAGCAAGACAAAGTTTCTGATGACTGAGGCACGTTATATCACTACATTTTGAGAAGCAGGTGTGTGACAAAGTGTGCACCTTGTCTTGTCTAGGCACTTCAAACTTAGGGGACAATCATGCACCTCAAACTTAGCAGCCTGCATATACAATAATTTTGGTCAATGGAATTTTTCTTCCAAATCTGGAAGGATATCTTCCATGCTTATTTTTGAGGAGGGTTCCCTAAAAGATTCAGCCTTTCAATTTTACTTTGTCAATTCATTACTTTTTGTGGTCTGGGCACAATGACTTTGTAATTTGTAAAATAATATTCTCACATTGTATTTACGAATACTCTGCAATAACAATCATTTATATTTTTTATTGCAGATGCTGCTAGATATAAAAGATTCTATTAAGTTCATTGAAAATAGAATCACGCCGCTATTGGAGAATAAAATTGCACCAGCAAGAATTTTGGAGAAGGTCATTGCCTGTTTGAGGAATGACAAAGGGCAATCTGCTAAGAAAAGTACTCACTACACATTTATTAGCATAAGAGACGTGAAAGATCTTGGACGTCAAACATGTGCAACATTAGCATCATCTCAAGTTAACAAAAATTCAAGCAGAGGTGGGTATGATACTTTTCATCAAGTTTTATTATAAACATTTCACACTTAAGAATCTATAGTTTTCAACACCTTCATATGCACCAAAAATATTTTAAAAGAAAGTCTCCTCAGTGTCAAGTCAAAGAATAGACATTTAATGACATAGTTCCCTCCCTATGAACACCTGTCAAGGAGCACCTAGTACCTATTTTTGTATTTTAAATTGAAAGTAAAAATTGATGACAAGTATGGAAGAACTTTTTATTTTGCATAGCTTGTTGCCCTCACTCATACCTGTGCCCTTATGCTTGTAGGACAATCTTAAGATTCTATCACTTTTTGTGTAGGTGGAAGACAGTTGCATGATTGCCATGCACTACTAATTGGAGTTCTCACAGATAAGCCCAAAATAATAGATGAGAAAGAGCTAGCTTGGAACTACCTTTACTTGGAAGATGATAGTGGTGCCCTCAGTTTGTTGGTGATTCTTTTTTAATATTCTTAAGTTTGTTTTCCAATAGCTTTTTGCTGTTGCCAACCTATTAGCCTCCAAGGTATATATGCTAACAGTAATCCTATTTTTCATAGTAATCTCCTTGAGATGCATATCAGAATCATAATGATTCAATCAATTTTTGTATGTTATTTTCATTTTATGCTTCATTGATCAGGGTCTTATTTTCATGGCTGATTTGTCATCATCTTCATGCAAACCATATAGTGCTGATTTGCTTCATTTTGCTTCATTACAAAACAAGTAGACACTGATTCCAAAAATTGATGCCAATTGATGGCTTCATAAAAAATTGCATTTATTTTGTTGTGCTTTTTTTGGTCTTGAATTTTTCTCAGCTTTGCCTATTGATAGAACCTGATGTTTGAAAGTTTGAACAATCGGCACAGTTGAATGTTTCCTTTAGAGCAGCAGATTGTAATGTTGTTACTCTCTTCCCTACTATGTTGTTTTGCATATGACCCTCTAATGATGTTACTATAAATTTGTTTGTTCCAAGGTTCAACACCAAAGTGCTTGTTGCATTGGGAAATTGGTTTTGATTAAAGACTGGAAATACATGCCATGTAAGTACATGCCACAGCATTGTAGCTTCTGTCATTATCACATTGTAGCTTCTGTCAACTTGACTCTACTTTTTTATTGCAATAGACGTTAGATACCTTATTGCAAAAAAAAGACTGTGTGTATGTAAGCCCCACAAAATCAAGCCTTTTCTTTCATTAGTCACTTTAAAAGATGCAAGTTAAGCCACGCCAGCATGAAAAAGAACTAGAAAAAGGAAAGTTGAGGAAATTTTATTGTGAAATAAAAATCAGCCCTGGAAATTGGATGAACATGCTTGTTTTGTTACCTTGGCATTTTCACAATCTCAAATTGGCTGTAACAGTAATGGCATTTCTTAGGAATAAATGTGATTAATGTATTATCAGTGTTTTCTTGGCTTTATACGATTTTTATTGATGTTTGATTTTGTTGATCATGCAGAGATTTTGAATTTTTGATCAATCTCAAAGTATATTAAGCATCTAGAGGCCTCACGAAAGACTTCAAGTACAGAACAGTGGAAAAATAAAATAAAATAAAAACTTGCTTAAAACCGTTCTCATTGTTTTTAAATCTCAAACATTGTTACTGGAACTAAAATATGAGACTATGAATAATTACTTGCATTGTTACTGGAACTAAAATATGAGACTATGAATAATTACTTGATTATTTCTGCAACCTAGCCTGCGAAATATGTATTATTATATGCTAAGCCATGAGTATCCAGGAATAAACCTCATTTGCTGTTTTTAGAAAATAACCCACAACTAGAATTATCTGTTAATCTTTGATGTTAACTGACAGTAATATCTTGGTTAATTTAATGTGGAAATTTTTCATTCTTTTTTGCAGGTTATTCATCAGAGGATCTTTGTTTTTCCTATATCGAGGCAATTTCAAGCTTCTTTGACATTTTACCAGTTCATGGAGGCCTTTGCCAAATTCCACCGAAGAGAACCTCTGGAAGATCCATCAAAAGGTTTCAACTAGTTTGTTTTTTCTGCTGGCTCAATTATCATTTTGATCAAATAACTATATGAGGAATTTAATAGTGACCTCATCATTTGAATTATATATAACAAATCATTTTCAGTTGTGTGAAACTTTTTTTGCCATTTCATCTGACGATTTTGCTCTTTGAGAAATCTTGAAAACTTTAAAGCTGATGCTACATTCTTCATTGCTTTTAAATTTATTCTTAAAGTATTTCTTTTGACTTTACTATTGTACATAACAGCAATGATACATTTTTTAGGAACAAGGATTTTTCAGGGAAAATTAAATTCATGAGCCCAGTTTTTGAGTAAGTGTGTATGCTATATGATTTGATTTGTGATGTTAAGCTAATAAATATGGTTTATTGGTTTCTGAGAAGCTCACAGTTGCATGGCTGACATACAAGCCACCATTTGTAACATGTCTTTCTATTGATAATAGGAATTGGGGAAAAAGTAAACAAGCAAGATTAGCTAAACATGGCTGGTAAGGCATCTATGTTTAAAAAAAGAGTGAAAAGCTGACCATTTTTGGATATCTTTTTGTCAACTTTGCGTCCAGTAAGCGTTTTTGAACATGATTTTCCCATAAAAGTTTTTCCCACTACTGGAGTTTATTTGTAAAGTTGAAAATGTAGTGCATTCTATAACCAATTGCTACAACAATACTTGCTTTGTAAGCTCTTTTGTATATTTCTTCATCAAAACCATAAATGGCATGATTATGTTTGATAAAAATCGAGCTACGCATTGTCTTCACAAGTTTCATTGTCTGCCTCTTAATGAATCTGAATTTATTTCATCATCATCATCACTATCTATGCAGAAGGTAGAATCATGCAGTGTTGTCATGGCTGTCATCAGTATCATGTTAATTGTATTCATGAACAGATGTCTCACTCTTTTACTGCAATCCGTTATCTCTATTAATTTTAAATTTCAACTTCTTCTTCTTAAACGATTTCATCTCTTGTTTTGGAAGTAAAAGGAGGTCGACGATTGTGTCCGCCATCAACTGAGCATAATCCAACAGCAAACGCTGAGTGACATAGTTAAAACGACGAATGCATAAGGAGAACAGGATACTATTGCCCGATAGCATTAGTTTATATTTGTAGTTGAGACTGGTTCGAAGTTTCTTGGTCTTTTTTCAGTTTCAACACATCAACCCATTGTTTCCTGATAAAACTAGACACTGGGAATGTCGCCGTTGTGGTTAGTTTACTTGCTAATGTCTTTCTTTTTTCATTTTACTTATATCTAGTGAAAAGTTTTGTTAAATTATATGCAAATAATTCCTTGGTGGTACAGAATTTAAAAATGGCTTTTAAAGACCCAGATTGTTTCTAAAAAATTAAAATGGCGACATGTTTAGAATTATTGATAAAGCTAGATCGTCATTTCATCTATAAAGCTTTGCCTTTTTAGACCTTATATTATAAGCATTATTACGTTTTAAAGGTAAATTCACGAACGCCACTGGCACCTCAAATATTCGGTTTGAGACCTTTATAAAATTTCATTACAGGGTCACGAGATGTTGCATTGGCGGGAGTTATTGAAGCCAAATGACCTTGTCGTTTTTGCCAATACATTTAACATCCAGCTGAACAGCGTGAGTGTTTTTATTCTATCTTTGCATCTGCCATATAATTTGTACTTGTAATATAAATAACTGTCATACCTGTGTGTAATAGAGTACTCGATACCGTATAGGCAGGGCTGTAAAAGCTTTGGTGTATAGATTAGGATGATTCTAAGTTGCAAGTCTTTTTCCTATTTTTGATGAAAGAAATTGTTGCTTCAAGGCTCGTTTCACTGGTAATTATAACTTTTTTATCACTGTTAAAACTTGAAACAAAATACAATATTATGTGCCTTCCACAGAAAAAGATATGGCATCATCTGGTTCTGGCTATGAACCACAATCAACAAATACTTTAACAATAGGCTTATAAAACAAACACTTTGTGAACCATGGCACCATTTCATTTGGCAGACGCTAGCATGCGCCAGTTTAGGGCACGTGAATCGTGGATTTAAGGCTTTCAAAGTGTTGCGGATTTTGAACTGCTAATGTTGAGAAAAAACATGCTATATGCTGATTGCAAAATAAGCTCGTTTAAAGAAATCAAAGGAAGGATGACCAATGAACAGGTCATTAATTGGTCATAGATTTCAGTTGATATTACCATGTGAATAGATCGACATTTTACAAGAATAAGTATGAAGCTGATGATTGTCGTATGGATTATGAATCTGCAGCTCCGGATATACATGGCTTGTTGTTCTAAGTTTTGGCTTTACCAATTTCTTGTCTTCCCAATTTAGAAATTGCTATTCAATAGGTTGATATGCCGTCATCTGTTGTTACCTGTTGGTGCTGAAAATGCATCACTTTTCATGGCCATTTCAAAAGAACTAATTATATGATTTCCTTTATTTTGACCTTGTTATATTTTTATCAGCCTAATTTCAAGACCAAGCTAATTGGTGTGGATAAAGCCTCGTCATTTACGGTGACGGGTGCAAGTGAACTGGTGAAGGTTGATATTGCCAATGCGACTGCAAACACCATTGTGAATTACACGGTTAGTTAAACACCTCAAAATAGTTGCTGCATCAAGTTACAAGATTATTTTTTCTTGTATCTTGAAACAAACTGTTCTGCTTTTGTAAATATTTTTTATAAAGCTTTTTCTTTTCTATGGAGGTGTACAGAAAACAAACCCAAAAAAGAACTAGATTTTAATTGTTTTTTGTGTCAACGAAAATCACTTGCCTTAGTTGAATCGTTTTAACTTCATGCAAGTCCAAACTTTGATGCTGCGATTTTCTTTTGTGCTCATTTTTGATGCCATTGACAATTTTTTGAAACATCACCAACGAAAAGAATATCTTTTTCAGGGTGTTATCAGTAAATGTACGTTGGTGGATGATGGGATCTTCGAACTGGATCGAACCTATAGGTACAAGAAATTTTTCATCAAACTTTATTTTGAAGTTATTAGATTTATTTATTTTGAAAATTACGAGGCATTCTGAGTTCTGGCCTATTGCAATATGTAGTTCTTGTATTACGCATGTCCTATTCAAGCTAGCATGCTCAAAGCATAACTTCTGAAAATTCATCTCTACTCATCTTTTTATGTGAAGTTAACAGTCAGGCTCTTGAAAAAGTGCTTGTCAACCAGTCAGGAGAATGGAAGTAGATGGATCATAAGAAAGATAGTACATAGTTTTAAGAAAGATATCATCCGAACGCTTTTCTTTCTGGTTGGTTGCAAAAAGTTGGTTGCTTTCGTTTGAATGGATCTTGTTGTTGTTTCTTTTTTGTTCATTATCTATGAGACAGCTAGCTAAGCAGGATCACGTCCTAGGCACTAGCAAGAAACAGCTTAAAAGGACCGTTTAATGCAGCTTAAGCAGTGGCGTTTCTTGTCACGTACATTTGCAGTAGGTAGGCACGAAAATGAGTTCGAAAAGCTCTTTTGATACTGCTTTTCCTCCATATCAAAGCTGCTTAGCAAATTTATACTGTGCATTTCAGCATGGAATACCACTATTCGGGCTACAGTCGTCTGATTTCGTGAGCTGTCAGCGATCTGATGCATGGTGTTTGGTCACTAGGTCCAACGTCTTCACAAGATACCCTTAAATGATTAATATCGTATTCTTTGAAAAACGATTATCCGTATTAGCTCAAATGAATTGAATAGCTTATATAATACACCAAATGAATGGTTTGTTTTTTGCAGACTTGTCGTCTCTCACAGTCCTGGGATCTCCTTGTTTCGTGGTCTCCGGGTTGGCGCTGTTGTTGATGTATATAATGCCCATCTTTTGAGATTTGATGGGGTAATTCGCTTGTTTCTTTTTTGCAGATTTTTTCTGTCGATTTTTGTTTACCAGCTCCATAAAAATAAACACATATGGCATTAGTAGGATTGTCTTTATGGCCCCTGAAACACTGATCGCCCGAATCTTATGTAAAGTAGCTAATCGATAAAGAGCCCAGGCGTTTGATAATTTTTCAGCCCTTTTTGACTGTGTTTGTTTGAAAATTGCGATTTTATTTTTACATTTATTTTCATATTAAATTTGCACGATTACTTCGATCCCCATGGATTTTAATTGAATGGGCGCTTAATCAAAGGGGTATGCTAATTATGATATGTGAATTTCATTGATACATTAGGCTTAGGTGCTTACAAAGAGGGATTGTGAACTGATATCTACAATCATTGCCAAAAGTAGTTGGAACACCAAACAATTTGAATCGTGTTTTTATATTTTCAATTCTTTTCCCGGATACTCCTATTTTCACACCCCTGAAAACTCCCGGATACCCCCCGAAACAATGTTAATAATTTAGAAAAATATCATAGAAGTCGCAGAAAAAAGCGTACTTCCTAATCCCCTACGTCGTTTTGTAGTAAACCAACATTGCTCAAAGGGGGGAGGGGGAATGGCTGATTTTGCCCTTGAAAACTGACGTTAGTGTACCAAGACTTTTGGCAAGCATTATAGCTTTTGTGAAACATTAAGTATGTTAAAGGAAGAGTCCCCTCTTCTAGTAAAGTAACTGCATTTATGTGCAACAAGTGACTCACAAGTCATGAGCATTCCACACAAATATTATTTATAATCTTAATGAATACGAGGATTAATTTACAAATTGGTTACTTTATTTTCAGATTGTTCATCTCTGCTGCTGCGCTTTAAGCACAGTCAAGATAAAGCAGTTTTCCTTCTCTTTTTATCGCCAAAGGGTAATTGACTTTTGCGATTTCATTCATCAAAATATCAATAGAAATTATTTATTTATCTGCAAGTAAAACTTGAAAATTTTTTGAACAACACGTGGAATAATTTTCGTTAATAAGCCAGGAATTTTTGAGGAACAATAAATCGTAGGTTGGTTTTCATCAATATTTTTTTCACCTTTATCTCTCTTTAGCCTTTCTTCGCTGGAAACAACATCTTGACGAAAGATTGTTTTAAATACCAAATCAAAGATTATTTGATGTTACTCAAAGTGGTAGACTTCCTGTGCAACGAATTCAATTGGCTCACGTACGTATTTGCAAAAGTCAAGGATTTAAGAAAAGTGGATTCAAGTAATAAACTGTTTGTTAAGCGATGACTGTTTGTCTTTTGTGGGGAAGTGATTAATTTTTGTATACACATTTACCGAATCTCTTGGTTCAAATGAATTTTGCTCTTCTTTGTTTAGATTTCTTTCATACAGTTGTATTTACTCCTTTGCTACAAATTGGCCCTTTCACGTCATTCCACATTCCTAATGACTAGATTTGACAGAAATGAGAAGAAAATTCAACAAAGAATAGCATAAAGCTTGGTTATGAATTTCGTTTTCTAATCTCGATTGCCCCTTTAGAAATATTTCAAACGGTATTTCCATTCCTCTCTCTTTAAAGAGGTACTTCCATTCCTCTCTGAACGAGGGACTAGGGTACTTGTGGACAATGTCAAGATTACTTCGCATTTTGATTTTCCCCCAGGAAAGATGATTCTCGAAATGTCGTCCTTTCTCTCTTGAGCGACTTCTTTAAGGATCCCAGCTTGGAAAGGAACATATTCAGCGAGTTCCTCACCCAACCACACCACTGCATCATATCAGCTGACAGAAAAATTCCTTTCCCGAACGTAGTTCTTGCGGGAAACGTCTTAGATTTGGTGAAAAGGAGAAAACTGAAGGAATCCGAGAACGCTTGGATTACTGGAGAGAGGTACGACAGGATGTACGATTCCGACAGTGCTGAAAACTTATGGGCTTATCAAGTTTTGAGTCAAGCTGATCTGAATAACGTGGTATGCAGTCAGTTTTTTCGTGGCTTGATGGTAGATTTGTCGGAAAATTTCAAATGGTTTTTTGATGGGTCTGCATTAGGTTGAGTTTTTAAAAAGTTGGAGGTTCCGTATTGAAAAAGCCACTGTACCTTACTGTACCTGTACATTAGATTAATGATCTCATAGTCTGCTTTTGGTTTATGCATATCAATACAGTTAAAGAATAAATGCCTATACCTTCAAACCAAATCTGACTAACTTTGACTCCTGTTTAGAGCTATAGGAAAGTAAACTGTATGTATTTTTTGTTTTCTTTTTGACTAGATTATCGTGGGTGAATTCAAAATCTGCAGTGAAACAGGGAACATGCAATTAACAGACTCTAAGCGAGAAATTGGTGTTTTGTTTATACCCCAAGATGGCAATGAACCTAGCAGGTAATCTCCAATGTAACCCCTCTGTGCAGGTTGTTTGAGTTAAATAAGGCTAGCGTGGAACTTAAACCAACCTTAAAATAGCCTCTCCTATATCTATTAGAAGGGGCTATCTGATTTTGTCGCATGCAGCACACTTGAAGGGGTGTAAGCTTTTCAAAAGGCAAACAAATATCGAGGTTATTTTCAAGCTTTTAATGTCAAGTGCTGGATTGCAAATTATTCAATGTCTCTAAGCTTCTATTTGTAAGCAAGATTTTTGGTAGATATATATTTACATTTCCTCTCTAGTATAATCAGTTGAATCAAGAATATTCCCAGAGAGTCAAGGTCAACATTTTGGCATAAATAACAGGCCTAAGCAACATTTACTTTGAAAGTAATTACTTGTAGAAGTTTACTTGGAAGTCAACAGTTTTAAGTCTAAGAGTAAAGACAACAGGGTTTAGTAGTTTAACTAGTAGTAGTAGATTTCTAGTAGTAGATCTATTAGTAGTTTTTAGTCTGCTTTTTTTCACACGCTTACTCAAAGTTTGATTTACAGGCAGCGCATTCAAAGATGGATCTATAACACGATTTCAACGGGAAAGAAATGTATCCTAGGTTTGAAGAAATACACAGTCGTTTCAGAGAAATTTAAAGCCGCAGATATTGATATTGGAGTGCAAAAAACGTATCTTATAGTAGATCCGTTTGAAGAAGGGAATATTTGCTTTATGTGCGATGAAAGCACGGAAAACGATGCACATGATGGGGTATTTGGGTCTGGAGGACGCAAACGGAAAAGCGGCCCTATTTTGTGCGAAAAGGCTGCAAAGAGCAGATTGACGGAAGTAGGGAGGTTAGAAATGGGGTTGGCAGAGCGCGCCACTAGTACTCCTTTAAATGACAAAAGACACAAAGATATTGTGCTGCCAGGTGCAGAGAATGAGTCTATTGCAAAAGCAAGACCATGCTTAAAAGAAAAGGATATCTGCACCAAAAAAGGGACCGCCCAAACAACCAAAAGAAAGGAAAAAAAAGCACAATCTAATAGACAAATCTCAGTCAACTTGAACTGCGTGCTTGTTGCAAAAGATACGAAAAGGGATTCTTTTTGCGATGCCAAGTTCGTTGTCGTTTTCATTGGGTTTGTGAGCCTACCGTATGCTGCACGTGAAAGCAATGGGGTGTATAGCTCCAACGTCGAAGGTACACTCATTGGAGAGATATGCAATTCAGATGAACAGAGAACACAAGATAAGCATGGCAGACATGCAAATGATAGTTTTACTCAACTGGAAGACAGTTCTTCTTCCATCTTTGATAGCTTTCTAGAAGAAGACGATCCTTCAACATTTGTTCCGCTAGAAAACAAGAAAATCAGAATTTTTCTTAAGTACTCTCGTGAACTAAAAAAACAGTTTTCTCAGCTACAAGAAGGCAACTTGTATGTTTTTGAAATCGAGGAAATCGACATTTCCAACGGCATTATCCATTGCGATTTAGAATCTAGTCGCAATGCCGCATTCTATCTGGCAGAAATGAAAAGAAGCAAAATTTATGTTGAAGAAAGTTGCGTTGCAACTCTGACAGATGACGTCATTGAGCTGATCCGAAGCCTATTCAGGACTTACTGCAGAATCATGTTAACATCCACTGTACGCATCGCTATTACCACGGCTAGAGACACTTTCAGCTCGCTTTCTGGAAGGTGAGCAATTCTCCCTGGCTTTTTATTTCCTCCGAAGGTTTAAAATTTCTATTATGTGAATTCTTTTTTATTCGATTCTTCACCATCAACTTTGCAATATGCTATTCAGTAAAGTGTATTTTATCTTCGACATACAAATATAAAATCGACTGCTAAGGCAAATCGGCTGTTAAATCGACTGATCATTACACATTCAGGTAGCTCATTTCCACTTAAAGTTCTGTCTGTCATTAAGTGTTATTAATCGTTTTTGAATCCCTTGGTTATTGAGCAGCAGGGCTGCAAAAGGAATGGGAACAAAATTTTAAGACCTGATTAAAATTTTGAGAGTTTAAGATTGGTTTCTATCAAAAAATAGTTGTACCTGCAAATACTGGAAGTTGTGCCCAGACAAAAATTGAGCAACTGTTTTCAATATCTCTAACAGTGATATGTTACTCACGTGCTTTCAAAAAAGCGATGAACTTAAAATGTTTGTTTTCTTATATTAACATCCAAATAAGATAAAAATATTGATACGGAAATATCCCTGGTATTGATGGATATGTTGAGTGCACAGAAACATGCAGAAAACGTTTTCCTTGCATTAGTTCTAATATTTGTATCATCAGTACAATGGCTTTTGACAGCAAAAAAGAATGAGACTTTACAGAAACTAAACGTACAAATTAAAATATAGCATATATTCATGTCATTATTTGCAAAGCCCTGATACCAAATGAATGAGACAGAAAACAAGCTTCTTTATTAATAAACAGGTGCATGAAAGAAGACGTTTTTGCAACGATGTTGAGCATTTTCTCTTTAAAGAACCTTGGGGGGGAGGGGGGAGGTGAAGTTTCCTAAGTAGGCTATTCACAGGCATCTTAGCAGACCTAAATTGATTTTATAAGTGTACTTAATCCGAGAAATAATGCAGCTTGGGGTTGAAATAAGACATTGTCCCACTTTAGGGGGCGTCGTCATGTCACTTTTGTGATTCTGTCTCTTTACATGCAATTTGTTCTATTGAAAGGTTTATCTGCAAAATTTTTGCTTCACAGCTATACGTCATTCAGTGGCATCATCTCTTCGAGGGACATTAAGCTAAATCGTCCTGTAAATACACAAAAGAAAGCTTGGGCAAACGGTTACTTCATCAAACTGTATAAGAACTATGCAGCAACACTTTGTCTTCGCGTAAATGATATTCTAACGGCCGATGAGATAACAGTGTATATAAACCTTGAGGACTTCGACTTGCCCGATGGACTGCTGCCGGGTGCTTTCGTTGAATGCAAGAAATTAGAAATTAGTATGTCTAAGTCAAAGAACCTTTATTGCTCAGCTAGGAAATGCAGCTGTTTCCGGGTCGTTTGCTTCAATCAAACTTATCGTGAATGCTTGCAACAAAGGAACACAATCTGTTCTAGAGATTTATCTGTAATATCAATGCTGAAAACAACTTTGAGCAGAGTTATCCTCGCTGAAAAGGATAGATTGTCCCACGTCACTTGGCAGCTTGATCTTGACTTCATTGCTGTGCGTTGGGCATCAATTTTTTGGCGTTGCCGTGCTTGCAGAAAGAAGGTTGCGGCAAACTGTTGCACTTATGGTTGCTTACAGCGTTGGCAGTTTTTCTGTCAAATGAGGTTCTATTTCAGTTTTATTTAGTATTATTTGAATCAGATTGTCCATTGTGAACAATCCCACAACTTTTTAATAAGCTCTAAGCATGGAGAGCACTGAAGCAAAAATTTTTCAAGCAGTTTGACGACTCGATTCAGAGTCTTTATGTATAGGTTTCCTTTATGTAAAATGTTCCTTGAGCCAAAAAAATGTTAATTGGAAAGATATCTCTTTATATTTTCAAAGAGCCCTCTTAGCAATCGACCTAGTCCTTTTCAGATTTTCCAAAATAAACAGAAGAAACAATCATCTTGCTAATAGCGAAAATTGTTTTAGGATTTCAAGTTTTGATGGTTACTCGTAGCACTTGTGTAGTTAAAACTTTAAGAAGCTGCTATGGTATCCAAACTTTTCTCTTATTTTTTGTGTGTATCAAAGACAGTCATGTCATACTTGCCTCTTTTTTCGTATCGTCCTTTTCCACACTTGTGCTGCTGTTTACAAATTATATGTTCTTTTGCATGTTTTAACAGTGTCATAGTGGGTGACGGCTCTGGTGAAGTGTACCTTCAAATCGAACAAGAACTGCTTAAAAACCTTTTGTCCTTCTCTCCTGAAGAATGGACCGCCATAAAACAACTCGCCAAAATCGACGAAATTTCGTATGTAAAAGAGCCTCCGAAAGAAGCTCAAGAAGCCTGCCAGTCTGTAAGTTTTTTACTTGCTTTTGTGTCATACCTATTTTATTTATATGCTTAACCTAACATAGCCTATCGTAACATTGCTTTTACGCTGGGATGTGATCCAACGCTGGTGGTTAAACGATCCAACATTTCACCCAACATGATCTTGGGCGAAATGTTGGGTGAAATGTTGGATCGTTTGACCAGGGCTTAACATTGCAAAACATAACAAACACAAAATAGCATAGAATAGCATAACATAACAAACATAACATAACATAACATAACATAACATAACATAACATAACATAACATAACATGACATCGTGCTATGCTACGCTATGCTATGCTATGCTATGCTATGCTATGCTATGCTATGCTATGCTATGCTATTCTATGCTATGCTATGCTATGCTATGCTATGCTATGCTATGCTATGCTATGCTATGCTATGCTATGCTATGCTATGCTATGCTATGCTATGCTATGCTATGCTATGCTATGCTATGCTAATGCTATGCTATGCTATGCTATGCTATGCTATGCTATGCTATGCTATGCTATGCTATGCTATGCTATGCTATGCTATGCTATGCTATGCTATGCTATGCTATGCTATGCTAAGCTAAGCTATGCTATGCTATGCTTTGCTATGCTATGCTATGCTATGCTTTGCTATGCTATGCTATGCTATGCTATGCTATGCTATGCTATGCTATGCTATGCTATGCTATGCTATGCTTTGCTATGCTATGCTATGCTATGCTATGCTATGCTATGCTATGCTATGCTATGCTATGCTATGCTATGCTATGCTATGCTATGCTATGCTATGCTATGCTATGCTTTGCTATGCTATGCTATGCTATGCTATGCTATGCTATGCTATGCTTTGCTATGCTTTGCTATGCTATGCTATGCTATGCTATGCTATGCTATGCTATGCTATGCTATGCTATGCTATGCTATGCTATGCTATGCTATGCTATGCTATGCTATTCTATGCTATGCTATGCTATGTTACGTAACACAACAAACTTAATTCGCATCAAGATTTATTTTATCTATAAATCTGTGCGTGCGACAACATCTTTTATAAATCTCAATTTTTTTGGTGCTGTTTTTACCCTGTATAACAAAGATATAGTTTTTATCTTTGTAAGCTCTTCTCCTTAAAGATTTGTAAAAATTTACCCCTTGATCCCATTGAAATTAAGGTAGACCCCATACATTAATTTTTCCAGGGACAATCTACAGTTGCTTCAAAAAGGAAATTGGCTGAGAGCGACCTGCGGAAGTTGTTTATGGAAATCCATACATTAGGGCCGTTCACTGTTGACTGCCGACTGTTTAACAACGAAACACGTCCAGCTCAATACGGTAACTACAATTTTCTGTTCCTGGAGCGAAATTGCCTTATTAAAAGAAGATAAGCAAGTACTGTCTAGCGCGGGGTAAATTTATGCGAATGACGAAAGGGTTTCTAGTATTACTTGTTAACGCGAGTCAAGTACTTGTTTCTAGTAAGTATTTGTTTTTAGTTCGAATGGGAGTTGAAAGATGTGTTTTTTAATGGTGCAGCAAAGGAAATCCAAAGCTCCATTGTTAATCGAGTTGCATGAGCTACAAAGAAGTTATGGATCGACTTAAAAGATAAAGACGAAGAAAAGTTGCAAACAGTTTATTTATTCCCTACCGTACGATCTGCTTCTAAAAGTGCTCAATGCCTTACAGGCGGAGCTGTACAAGCCTTGCTGTATTATAACGGACGGTTCTAAGTTGCTAATCAGTGTTTAACGATGTTAATGCGATCACAATTGCCTGATGATCAAAGTTGCCGGCTGATCACAGTTGCTTGATGAGCACATTAAGCCTGAAACTCGGAGTTCCAGCTTAAAACCAGCCAGATCTTTACCCAAAGCACATGCTATATTTACATTGAATAAAGGGTGGCTGATTTACGCAGGAAACACATGATTTTATTCAACGCAAATTTTTCAATGATGCTGAAGGCTTAACGGGAGTCTTATTTATTCTTAAGTCTTCTTAAGCGTATATAAAAGGCTTTTAGTACGGATATGTATTTCCTTTATCCTTTAAAATCCTAATTATATTTTTTGCAACTTTTTGTTCTCAGGACCGAGGCTGAGAGCAATGCGCCTTGGGAGCAAAGAATACCTCATGCAGGCGCCACGTGAAATCAACCTACAAGCAATCCGTATAAGCACCCTCGATTACGCATCAGAATCTCAAAGTTTGCTACAGAATCTAATGTCAAGTTGATTCGTCATATTTCATATTAGCTTCGAAAACAACTTGTTCGTTCTCCTCATTTATTCATCATCGTTAAAAAGGTTTATTGTTTGCTCAATACTCATCTTGTCTATTCCATTTTGGGTATAAATCTGTATCGTAACGTATAAATGTTTTGTTTCTAAAAAGTTTTGTTTTCAAATGCATGTGAAATTTTATAGTTGATGTAGAACACGCCAGGAAAAGATAACAATGTGGAGATGTCTATGAATAACATCGAAACGAGACTTTACAATTTTACACTTTAACAAACCTGGTACTATTTATTTAAATAACAAAGAACTTGGTATTTTGATATCAGTATAGAGCAGTGTGTCTGACAGCAATTCTGAAAACCAAGGTCATGTATTTGATAATGTCACCACATTATATTCTGTTATATTACTTTTCAACTCGAAGGAATTTGTATTGCTACTGAATATTGTGTGTTGAACGGCAAAAATGCAATCATCTTAAACTTCAAGAAATGTTTCTATCTTTTCTCATTTTCATTTTTCAAGGTAATATTACACACTTTGATAAAAAGAGTATTTTTCCAAGTAATATTACACATTTCGATAAAAAGAGTATTTTTCCAAATAATTTTACACACTTCGATAAAAAGAGTATTTTTCCAAGTTACATTACATTTTTATATGGTTATTCATCTGATATTTATGACATTCACTGGTTTTACGACTAGTGATAACGTTTTTCAGCGGGGGAATAAAATATTCTTGTTGGCTTTGCATATTTGCATATTGAATGTACTTCACATACTGTGTTACATGTGTTTCTTTGGTCATGGTCACAACTTGCTTTGTTCAAAGACTCAAAATTTCAATTGTTGCATTTCTGTTCAGAGATATGTTTTTGTCTTATTTTAGTGATAAGGCATATTTGGTTTCTAAATTAATATCAGTTGTGACCCTGGTCCGTTAAATTCCCCGCGGTCCAAGTTCCTCAGCTGCCAATGTAACTATGCTTTACTTCAAAGCGACCTTTGGAAAATATCATGTGCCATCATACTTTGTAGTTTGTACTCGTTGAACCTTTGTCTCCCCCACCCACCGTAGCGATGCCCTTTGTTGCTTTACTCAATTAAGTAGGATTCCGAGAATTTCCGACAATAGTCACAAAAATTTTGCAGCTTAAATATTTGAATAAGAACTGACAAAATGTTTATAGACTGGGAGAAGAAGAGAAAATGAATACTAGTACACGTCCCCAAAGATTGCTGTCTCCTCCGCTGGGGTGCTGTTGACTGCGCTATGAACTGAGCTCAGTGTTGTGTGCAAATCCGCTGTGATAGCACAGTATGTAATTTTTAACAATGCGGTTTAAAAGATAAGAATGTTGTTTTGAAATTTAGTTAGGCCAAATGGGAGAAATCCCCCATTCCATGCATGTCAACGAATGTCTTTGGAAATGAGGGAACGCAAAGAACCGCAATACTTCTACCAGTTCAGGTTTATTATCATTGGGGACAGCACGGTGGGCAAATCATCACTTCTCCGGCAATTCACAGAAGGACAGTTTATCCAGAGTTCAGACCCGACTGTCGGAGTTGATTTTCATGTTCGAATGTTACAGCTTACAGGTGAGACTACGAAGGCCTTGTGTTATTTTTAGGCCTTGGCTCCGTCTATTAAAACAGAACACTACCCTTTCCAATGGTTTGGCGGGTTTTAAATTCTTGATTACGTGACTTCAGACTTTCTCGCCCATGCGGCCCTGATATCATTGCGTATGATTTTCTTTTCTGATTCTGCTTTCGAAAAATCTTAAAAGGCATCGGAGACAAACAAGCAAGGAAGCTCATTGAAGTGACTGTGTGTGACAAAGCATGACTCTGTTTATGTCAATGTTTGCTGCATACGTGATCTTCGACCTCCTTCGTAGAGTTTTTTCAATATTATTTTATTATTGGTTCTAAGTGGTTTGTAAACTTTGTGAACAAATTGTGAACAAATGAACGATTTAAATGCATATTTTTTGAAAATTTTTGAATTGTATGTTAAATATAAAGATTGATAACATCACACAAAAATTATGATTTCAATGTGAAGCTACTTCTGTTTGTTGTGGCTGATATAATTGATCAACATTGAGATAAAACTATTTTCATGTTTACAGCTGGTCATGCAAGATTTCTTAAGTAACCATGGAAAACTTTAATTTTCCTCAGTTCTGGTTTTAATTTTCATTCTGCTCCAAAACCAGGAGCATTCAATTGCTGACAGGTAACCTACATCATAGATTCTATTGTCTTCCCCAGAATTATTAATGTAATAACTTTTGAAGCAAATCAAAGAGCATCAAAGCCCTTTGTTCAACATTTTTCTTTTGTCAGGCTTTTTCAGGTCCATAGGCTGACAGTGCGGTAAGAATGCTAGATGCTACAAAGATGTAGAAAGGTTCTTGTTGTAGCACTATTCAGCTATCAGAAACCTAATTTTGACATATTTGACACAGCACATATATGATAAGTTTTTACCAAAATGTATCATCACAGTTTATGAAAACCTGGTGTGTTGAGATAATAAAATTTGGAAACTAAAATGCTACCAAGTTAATTTCTTTTCTTATTATATGTTATCGAAAAGAGTTTTCGAACAAACAGAAGCTCAGCTCTGTCTAGCACAGACAAATGCAACAGCAAGGGGTAGATGTCAATCTCATGATCAAAATTATGCATACTAGGAATCACATAAAAATATGTGAGACATAAAACTAGTTATATTGAAGAGTTAACAAACTCTAGTGTTATCACTGAACTGCCCTGTCAAGAGAGTTCGATATGAGCATGGTTATAGAAATTAGCTACAATAGCTGCCAGAAGTCTTGGTACATTGCACACATTTTTGAATATTTTATGCTGCATCCCTCTCAAAAGATATTGTTCAATCCAAAGTTAAGACATGGTTTGTGCAGTCAAATGAATTAATCTCAAGATTTAATATTAACTCTACAGCCAACATTGTTCTGGGGGGGGGGGGGATCCTTGATTAAGCTTCCATTGGTCTTATAAAAGCACACAAGTTTGCATGTTAGGGTTGGGACTTATTAACAAGTTTACTTCCAGGATGGGCAGGGACGCCTGCACAAGATTAGGGCAGGAGGGGCAGTGTTGGTGCCGAAGGCAAATCATTGAATTTTTCTATTAACATAATCGAGCATTTCTAGGTGGGAGGGGGGCGAGGGTGGGGTAATATAATAAAATATTAACTTGAATATGTGCCACCCATTCAGCTGGGTTTTTTACCAACAAAGATTCTAAACATAAAGAAAATGTTGACGAAATTATCCATAAATGAAAATGGTTATTAAATGGC